TTTTAAGTACGGTGGTATTATTAAATATGATAGCATAGACGGGTCAAATACCCCTCTTGTTATCCCTTGGCAATAATATTGTGTAATGATAATTATTACAGTACTACACATGTATAACATGAAAAAAGTTATTAATAATTTAGGAAATTTTCTTAACATTTTCTAAAATCTTGTTTTTCAAACAATCTCTTGATCCCAATACCAAAGCCTTTCACAGATGAGCTTTCATATATAACATACAAACTGTTTAATAGAACATTCTAAAGTACTTATCCCTAAGTAACAATATCATCATGGAAATATCTTCTAGTATACATCAATAATTACTTGAAAATTGGGAGAAAATTAAATTATATAATACAGTTTTTACTAAATACAATCAGAAAGAATAACTTTTCAAATGCAAAAAAACTTAATTTCAGGTAAACTTTTATACTACAGCAATAAAATTCTCACATTAAGAACTGGAAAAAGGTACATAAAAAAAATTAAGAAAACAGAAAGTGAGCAAAACAAATAACTTTTACAGATTACTAAAAATTAATATTAGTGGCTTCTCTATCTTGCAATCATTCCTTACCTCCACAATTTCATGGACTACTCAAAATCTGGTCCATCAACATATATCTCTGCAAAGTTTGTACCAGCTGTATTGAAACTCCAAATCTAAGATTCTAAACAGTTTGTTTAGGTTTTAAAAGCACTTAAGTTAATTACATGAATGTTCTTATGAGCTTTAATGTGTTATTACTTCTTAAAAGAATTTTTATTGCTGATACAATTAGTTGTTAAGAAGGACACCCCAAAACCCAGTAAAACAAAAGGCTGGAACCTCATCAATCTTCACAAGATTCGTATGTATTTGGTGGTTAAAGTGGGGTGGTACCTGTTAGTACGCATACTGGAAACAGGCACAAAAGCAGTACGACATACTGGTAAAGAAAAAAATCAATAACTTAATAAAATGTTATACTGCTGTAAAACATTCTATCAGTGCCTCTTTGGTGTTGCATGAAAATATGTTTGGCTTTAATGTCTCTGCAATTATAATGTATGTTTTATCTCAGGTCACTGCCCTTATACTTCATAAACATCATCTTCCTCCCCCTCCCCCCCAATATGTGCATAATAGCATCTTTTCCAAATATGCAGAATCTGCAGCTAACACTACATATGCATATAAGAAAATAACACTGGGGAAATGATAAACATTATCCATACAATCATGAGAAATTGTAACCTTTTAGGTCATATCCTAGGGTGTTTTTGTTATAAAATATAACCAAATTATCTATTTAACATTTTAATTGTTAAAAAAACATCTTTGCCTTCGGAGTAATGGACCATCACCCTTTAAACCTAAATGCAATCACATTACTTTTATTGAAATTTGCAAGTTCTACAGATTACAGGAATAAAGTATAGTGTTTCAATGGTCTCATTCCATTTTCTTACAGTTGTCAAGTTTCATATCATACCAACATTAAATAATTTCTACTCTTGAACTATGGTTTTGCTACATTGATGATTTTTTTGTTTTTTAGGAAAAAAAAATACAGTAAAGATACATTTTAAGCAATTTACTTTGAATTACCTTCTTTAAATAATCAACACATGAAACGAACCAACTCTCTTCATTTTTTTAGGTGCACTCGTTACAAGAATACCAGTGGCAATGAACTAAAAAATGAAGCATAATTAAACAAAAACTCACAAAAACAAATGTAAACTGCAAAACTTGCCATACTGTCTTGGTAAAAATTAACATTATTGAAATTCTGTCATGCTGTCACAAACATGATGAAACAACTAACCAAGCAACTAGTAAAATAAAAACTACATGTACAGGTACATCGGTGACACATACGTTAACTGTCAAGAAAAAAATACAAGATCACTTTACCATGTATGTAGAATTCAGTGAAAAAATGTGAATGAGTACCAATACCTTCAACTTCTCCACAATTTCTAAGTTATAAAAAATGTAGTCTACAGTATACTATGCAAGTGGAAGAAAAGGGTCTACTGCATAAAGCATACTGTCAACACAAGGATGAAAGAATACCAGGCAGATAAAACAAAAAAATATATATATATAGCTAAACATAACATGGGAGAGTAAGGAACCATTTGGTCCAAAGGCTGTCTCCAAACATTCACCTTTGAGAAAAAGTACAAAATTAAGCAACTTTATTTTTAAGGAAGTCAGTTATTGGATTCCCCTTTTAAACATATAAACTTCCAACCTCCATTACTACTGACAGCAAATCACTTCTTAAGTAAATTGCCCTGTTAGAAAAATAAAGCTGTGTTAAATGGAGATTGTACTGTCTTTCACAAATCTTAAATTTGTGCTGTCTTGTCCAATCACCTTCAGAATGTACATTTAGCTCAAAGGAGAGGAATTTTCTCATTATCCACAAGATAACCTTATAAACTTCATGAAAATCACTTCTCCCTTCTTTTCTCATGAGAAAATTAAGAGATATTAATCTATAAAATAAATCTTCCAGGCATTACTAATATCATTCAAGTAGCATTTCTCTGAAACCTTTCCTTAAATGAGGCCAATACTATAAATACTATTCCAAGAGAGGCCTAACTAGTGATTTGTATAGGGATAATTTCCTCTTTTGACTTTCAATCAATGATTTTGAATAAAAACTAAAATTCTATTATCTTTGCAACTAGTGTGGTATATCCAGGTCAAACTGAATTAAGTTACGAGTGATTGGATGGGTCTGAAAACTATATACTTATTATGGAAAATTCCTAAATCTCTGAATAACTGAATCTGAGAAAGAAAGAGAGTGGACAAAAGGTAATGCACAAAATGAACTGTACTTGCTGTTGTTATGCAGAACTTCACTTTTATTGGATCTTCCTTCAAACTGTTTATTCTTCAAAATCATGTATCAGACTGGTTAAATCCACTGTTCCATACTTTGCAAGAAATGTTATATTTACCTACAGCAACTAGTACTACTCACATGACTGGTCATTCTCATTCAAAATGAGGTATGGCCATAACATTGAGATATCATGTGAACTAACATTGAAGAACATAGCTATCAATATCCTAGCACAAAGTGCAGTATTACAGCAACAAAAAAATCCATAGGTAGAACAGGTATGTCTTTAAGAGAGTAACAAAGAAATGAAGGCAACTAGAACAAGATGAACTAAACAGCTTTCGTGACCACTTATGTGAAATCTGCACATATACAGAATAATGAATACATTCAGAATAAGTACTATAATATTACAAGATAAAAATGTATGGAATACTCATATACCAAACTAGCAACAGATCACTATTTTGATGGCTTGAGTGACTTATCCACCATTATGCCAAGATCATTTTCTTCAATCAGGCTACTGAGTGGATTCCCATGAATACTAAACATGTGATCCAAATTATGATAACACAAATGCATTGATTTGCACTTACTATGATTAAAGTAATTTAACAAATATTGTATTTGTCTAATTATCCACTTAAATCATACATTATTTTGTACCTCAAAATCCTCTATACAGCTAGAAATACTCGAGAAATTTATATCATCCTCAAATTTTACAAATTATTACAAAGTATTGACACTCAAAGCTCTTCATTAGTAACATGGGAATAGTTTGATTAGATTGCTTGATAACTTAAAATTCAATTTACTAATCTTGCTCAGCCCAACAAATGTGATTTTCTTTTGTGTACTGCCTTATAAAATGGTTTTGAAAATTTAAGTATCTAGATAACATGTTAACACCATTGAAAAAGTTAATAGGTTATTAAACAGTTAATAAACAGTCCACAGGATTATTTGATGTTTCTTTATTGTGCTATTCAAAGCTATTGTAAATGACCTAGTTGTCATGTTATTGTTACAAAACTATGTTATCACAGTATATAGACTCAACCTCTTAACTATCAGTTTTTCTCTTTAATCCTAATATAACAGGATACAGTACATCTATTATATAAAGTGCCAGCCCAATCCTTCTTTGAAAGAATGTCACTGTGAAATAACTTGTAGCTTGGAATTTCAAAATATTTTCTATTATAAATATTTTCAAAGTCTAATCAGATTTCAGTAATTGCCATTACCTCATAGTCTTTCATTTCAACTGGAGCCCTAAACTCATCCATCTTGTTCTTGATACTCATAACATTGAATAATAGTAACTAAGCTTATTTTAAGTCTGAAAAACTCATCTTTAAACTATTATTTAACTTGCTATTCTCTTAATCTTTATCCAATGTTCTTCTTATCCTATCAGTTTGTTTATTCCTAATATTCCAAGTTTTCTCACCACCATTCAAGTTTAAACTACTTTTAACAAATTTCTTTAGCTTCTTCAAATGTCTTGCTATATAGTCTGTTTAAAGGGAGCCCATCTTTAATATATAACACCTCACCCTGATAACTATCCTAAAAGTCCAACCACACTTGTTGCTCAAAGCACATCCTTACTATCTTTCATTTTAATTTAAGTCTTGGGTCATGCAAAGTAATTCCTTCCCACACACAACCAGAGGATGCAGTCATAATAATAGTAATATTATTAACAATAATATTCCTAATACTATCTATTAAACAGTTAAAACTTAAGTATAGACAAGTCATGACTCTATTAAAAATAAAGCAGTTACAAAAATTTGGATAAACTTATGTGTTTGTCACCACTTTGCTATCTAACACTGGCACTGTATCCGTAATTACTTTGAATTACTATTAATATACATATATATATATATATAGATAGTATCATTAATAATAATCCTAATAACACTGGTAAATAGTATAGCCCTAATAGTAATAGTACTACTACTAGTAGTATAATACTGTTCTATATTCAATACTACTATTAGTATTATTAGTACTAGAGTAGTGACACTAACCGTGGCTTTAGTTTAGTGCTCCAACGCAAAAGATTTAACTTTAAGGAAAACTAAAACAGGAAAAAAAAAGAACTTTAAGTTTCAAATAACTTTACATTACCTGGGATTTGGTGGTAAAGGGACGAGAAGGCACACAAGTAAATAACAGACATGCACCACAAGAAAAAATCCCTTGTTATTTTAACTTCACCCATTCTTCTTTCAATTTCAGTTCCTCCGACCACTCGTACAGTACCTCCAAGTGAGGAGTGTGAATAACTAACAAGTTAAGCCTTTAAATTCAAAGTTAACTCGATATCTATGTTACCGGTTTCGCCATCTGTACAATAACAACTTAAATAAAAGTTTATACATAATTTATTTAATGTCCATTTCCACTTTGTCCACTCACTTTAATCATATCACTTTTGTTGTAAATGTGTGGGTCATGATGTACTATAAAATGTGATAAACATTAATATTTGAATATCAAAGAATTTGAAAATTATTTTCATAAATACGTTATTTGTGACTTAAAAATAAAGAATCGTAGTTTTAAAAATAAACAAATAAAATTATTGTTTTAAAACACTATTCAACAGTTTTTAAATTGACTATTTTTTTCACTGACTTGGAACGCTTATTTTGCAAATTCAGACTAAACTTTGAACGTCAGGTTTTTTTTTTTTTTCATTTCTCATAGTCCTTGCGGACTGTTGAGCCGATGGCAGATATTGCTCTGCCATCGTTTCTAAAGCTGTTTCTTACGTCAAGGATGCAACCCACTTGACAGCCTTCCCTCTTTGAAAAGACAAGCATGTTTGGTGTGACGGGGATTCGAACCCGCGACCCTCAGATTGCGCCTTAACCACGTGGCCATGCCGGGCCGAACGTCTGGTAGTTATAATATTGTATGTAATTATTTGTATTCACTTGATATCTCATTGTTTTTCTTTAGTTAGAGAACTGGGCGTGCCAGACTGCGAATCCCAGGGACAATGATTCGTGTACTGTTGTTGCGAAAAAAAGAAAGCAAGAAAAATAGATAAAACGAGCTCCGCATCTTAAAGCTGTTAGTGTGTTATTGCTAACTGTCTTTCTTCTAGTCTATAAATTCACAAGAATAAGGGCCCGGCATGGACAGGTGGATAAGGCGCTCGACTCCCAATCTAAGGGTCGCGGGTTCGAATCCCCGTCCCACCAAACATGCTCGCCCTTTCATCCGTGGTAGCGTTATATGAGACGGTCAATCCCGCTATTCGTTGGTAAAAGAGTAGCCCAAGAGTTGGCGGTGGGTGGTGATGACTAGCTGCCTTCCCTCTAGTCTTACACTGCTAGATTAGGGATCGAGCGGATAGCCCTCGTGTAGCTTTGCGCGAAAAATAAACACAAGAATAATTTTGCGCGAATATCCGAAATAAACCAAACTTATTTTAGTATTTACTCATAAATTAAATTTACAAACCCAGTGGCACAACGGTATGTCTGCGGACTTGCATCGCTAGAATTCGGGTTTCGATACCCGTGGTGGGCAGAGCACACATAGACCATTGTGTATCTGTGTGCTTAATTACAAACAAACAAAATTATTTTGCATTTATGTAAAATTTCTTTTGAGTGTTTCATTGTCCAAAAAGTTTCAGAATATCAATTTATTAAGTTCGTCTATTACGTTTTTTATTTGTTGAAACTGCATCATATTAAATCTTATTTTCAGTGTACTTCTATTGAAGCATTTTGTATGTTGCCAAATACCTTAAACTTCATTGACGCTTGATTCTTCATTGTATTTTCTCAGTGTTATCCAAGAAATATACATGTAAATCACAGTTCGAACAATCCAATTACCAGAATATTTTTGAAAGTTAAGTGTTCGTGAATTTGTATTTTGTATTTATGAAAAAGCTATTAAGCGGCTATCTACTACCGTCCCTAATGTTGAACTACGGACCAAATAGCAGGCAGGCAGGTAGTCAGCAGCGCCTTACCACCCACCATCCACGCTAAGGGATTGACTGTTACTCTTATAACGCTCCCATAACTTAAAGTGCTAGGATTATTTTGTTTTCAAAAAATTATGCATTTTGCTTAATCTCATTTTCCTTGATATAGATTTACAATGTTAAAATCAGGGGTTCGATTCCCCTCAGTGGACACAACGAAAAAATTAAGTACAGTAAAGATCCAAGGTGGAAAGGTTCCCAATAACATTCTACAGCTCCAAATTTTAACAGGATTAATAGATAAACAAATAAATAAAACATGCGTTTTTTTGTTTGCTTGTAGAATTTGTTTGTTTGTATTAGCGTTATGTCCACCATGGGAAATAGAAACTCACATGTTAGTGTTGTAAGGTCGTAAACTTACCTCGGACCCACCGAGGAACTGCTTGAAGAATAATTCATATAAAAATACACTTAAACAGTTTGAAGATAAAGTTAAATAACCTGGAATTCTTGGAAAATTAAATTGTCATCAGCGTAGTAACAAAGGCTGTAATGATGCAGTCACTCTATCACATTTCAGAACAAATGCACAGCTTCCAGAACATCTGAAGTCTCTAGCTGAAGATTGAGTTAACAACCTGAACTCAACATAGAGGCTTAAACTTATTAAAATGTTCAGGGAGTTTGTAGATGCGCTTTTGGAACTTGATTAGGTTGGATAACAATTACACATCATCACATAGATAGAGTTGACACACGCCCAATAAAACTAATAACCTACAGACTTTCTCTGAGTATCAAGGATATTACCAGTTCTAAAATTGAGAAGATATTAAGGATAGGACAGTACAACCTTCATCAAGTGTTTGGTTATCGCCAGAGGCGACTTAAGAAAGAAGGAAGGGATTTCAAGGTTCTGCGTGGATTTTATACGGGCGAATGAGGCAACATGAATCTGTGACTTTCCTTTATCACACACAGGTGAATGCTTGGATGCATTGTAAGATGCCAATTGGTTCAGTACACGAGATCTGACTTCTGGCTATAGGGAAATTAAACTGGGGGAGAAAAAGCAGATCTATCACTGCTTCATCTTTCGAGAATGACAGTGTGAGTCCTATGTCATGCCATTTATATTCTGTATAATACATCTGCCACTTTCAAGGAACACTAATGGGACTGTAATGGAAAAGAGTTCTTATCAATAGGGATGGAGCATCAATTGACTCTCTGGAGATTGCAGTGGCCGAGAATTAAATTCAGTCTGTGACCAAGCAAGAAATCCACAGTTTTTTAGGTTTCATGTCGTATTATCGATTATTTGAAGCCAAGTTCTTCAAAACTAGCCTCATAATTGTCTGCACTGAATAAAGCTGATGATTTGTATATCAGGATTTTGCAGAATATGATTCAGTCGTTGAAGCAATGATAAGGCATGACGTTGGGTAAAAAAAACACGCGACCTAACAAACTAATTAATGAATATTTGCTGTAAAATTCTTATCAATGCTATAAGTGTAGCTACTAGTTTGACCGCTAATTTTGATTTCATTCCTTTAAGTCACATGCTCAATCCTTTTTTTTGGCCGCACCTTTTTTTTCACACCTAAGGTGTTTTTGATTAGGTGTTATGACGTTTTTGTCAATACACATTAACAAACCACAGCAAGTAAGGAAGTGACACTTGATAGTTACCAACATTAGCTTTAGGATCGCAACCCTATTATTCGGAACAGACTTATAATCTACAAAACCAGCCAGATTCCTTAAAATATATGGTGATAGTTTTCCTCTCTGAAACAGTGTTAATAATGTTGCGTCATCGAGATCATGTGATTCTCACG